TTGAATTGCAACAAACACGCATAGTTTATACTAACTTATCTCTTGATAAAGAAAATCACACACACACACACACACAGCAAACACAAACATACATATGTGACCATAATTATGAAAGTGGTTAAGTAAATCATGTATCTGTTGTTTCGAGATATTTTAATGATTTATATTTGAACACTAGATAAATTCTATATAATATTGAAATAACAAACATTATCTAACAATTTATTTATAACAATATCGGTTTCAAATTACATTGAATTTATTTAGTTTAACCTTTGTTTATCACACTTGATCCAAATGACCCAAACCTTTTTTGCAACATGAGTCGTCATTTTTCACAATTGTTCAACTTTCGTAATTTTTTCAACATATTTAAATTTAATTTAAAGCTATAAAACTTATATAATCTTTTTAAGTAAGTATTAAAGAAGTTTCAACAAAATATTGAAGTAAATCTATGCAATAGTTTCTTTTTTATAACGATTTTTCTCGCCGGGTCCTTTGGACCCGGGTGTGGTGAGCGTGTTACTCCAGGAAGGGTGGTAAACAAAGATTAAAATAATGTGGTGCGTAATAACTAATAAACTCATTTTTTAATTTTTTTTTTTTAATTTTGACTTAGATCACTTTCATAATTATGGACACATATATATGTATATATGCATACATATGTAATGCATATATTTGATACACGAATTATAATTGTAAAATGGAAAAGGGGATTGGGGATTAAAAAAAAAAAAAGAAATTATAATTGAAAATAACAAATGATAAACTAGGTCACACACACATATATATATATATATATATATATATATATGTATCTATAAATAATGATATATATGTATATATATATAAACAAGTTTTTTGTAGATAATTATTCTTCTTACATCATCTTCCGGTAGAGATAATCTTAATACATTCTCAAGAACGATTGTACGTATGTATTTCACGTGAACAATTATTATTATCATTATCATTATTATTATAATTATTATTATTATTATTATTATTATTATATATACATATATATATATATATATATATATATATATATATATATATGTATATCGTGTAAAGATTGACTAACGAAATATAATACATACATGCATAAAATATATATGTGAATATTTCGAATCGAAGTTTGTTCGCAACAAAAACTTCGCACAGGTAGGATTTTACTGGTTTTAAAGAGAAAGAAAGAAAGAAAGAAAGAAGAAGAAAAAAATAATAATAATAATAATAAAAAGAAAAGAAAGAGAAAATTTAAAAAAAAAAGAAAAATAAAGAGAGTAAAAGAGAGAGAGAGAGAGAGAAATAAATAATTCGCGCGCACGCAGGACGAATTTACCTGAATAATAAAATTGATAAACCTGAACGCGCGTTTTTTTTCATCGTGTCGTGTGTGTGTGTAATAAGTGGTATGCTTGAGTGCGTGCGTATACGTATGGACGTGTGTGTGTGATATATATATATATATATACATATACATAAATTACATACATATGTACCTTCCTTCATTTTTATTGTCGTTGTAATTTTTTAATTCATATTTTTTGTACTTTTAATTTTAATCTTAATTTTAATATCTTTTTCTTTTCTTTTCCCTTTTTTTTTTTTTGTTATTTTCTTGTATTTTTTTTTTTTTTTATTTTTGACTGCGTGCGCATGTATTATACTAATCGGAAAAACACGTGAAAAAAAAAAAAAAAAAAAAAACAGGTAAACTACTATTAGGATAAATAATATCTAATTGCATAGAAAAAGACAGATTTTTGTTTCGATGTAAAAATCGTTGGATTTTAATTAAGAAAGAAAAGGAAGAAGAAGAAAAAGAAGAAGAAGAAGAAGAAAAAAAGAAAGAAAATATAAATAACACAATAATAATTTACAACTATACGACAATTTTTTTTTCGTAATCGTATTAGTTAAAAAAACAACAAAATAAATAAATAAATAAATAATAATAAGAAGAAGAATTCATTCTTTGTATACTAAGTTTTTTTATTTTTCTTTAATTCTTACCCTCGTCTTTCTACTTAATTTTAATTATTGTATCCAATCATCGTTGAATTAATTATCGAGAACACACAAAAAAAAGTCACACGTTTTTATCGTTCTCCTACGAACAATACTACAAAATAAATAAATAAATAAATAATTAAATAAATAAATTAATAATAAAATAAAATGAAAACGTTCTCTCCATGTTAAAACGCGCACTGACCAGTAAAAAAGAAAAAAAAAAAAAGAAATGTTTTTCCTTTTCGTATAAATTTAAGCTTACATTTTGCGAACTTCTGTAATATGTATATATTATAAGAATAAAAAAATAAAAAAATAAATAAATGAACTATTATAAAATAAAATAAAATAAAATAAAATAATATTATATATAAATATAAATATATATTAACGACGGGATAGGAAATGAGAAAAAGAAGAAAAACAAGAAAATCTATATACTTTTAGAAACCGCAATTGAATAAAATAAAATAAAATAAAATAAAATAAAAAAAATAAAAATAAAAACAAATATATGCGGATTATTATAAGAAACAGATTCATTATTCCAAAGTCATAAGAATAATAATATTCAGAAATAATAAAATAATAGTAATAATAATTATTATAACAACGCGAGAGAGATAATAATAATAATAATAATAATAATACTAATAATAATAATAATAATGAAATTTAAAAGAAAAAAAGAAAAAGACAGAAAGGAAGAAAAAGAATAAAAAAAAAGAAAAAGAAAACAACACCGAATTGTTTTATTAAAAATGTCGTTCTCTATGCTGCAAAAGAAAACATAAAATAAAAATAAAAATTATAATTAAAATTATAATAAAATAAATAATTAATAAAAAAAAAAGAATATAGAAAATGAAAAAAAGAAAAGGAACACAAAAAAAAATTAAACAAATAAATAAATAAATAAATAAAACGCGATAAGTCCCATCGATGCTGCCGTACGAATACATAATAATAGTTAAAAACAACAAACGCCAGTACGTAGTAATTAATTAATTAATAAATTAATTAATTAATAATAATAATAATATAAAACGCAAAACAAACGAGAGAGAGAGAGAGAGAGAGAGAGAGAGGAAGGAAGATAATATAGAAATACACATAAGTAGTTTTTAAGCCGATCTTTTTTGAATTAAAATGTAATATCTATCCACTCGAAGGAATATTTTTATTAATTATAATAGTTGCAACCAAAAGAAAAGCAAAAAAAAGAAAAAGAAGAATTAAACGAAGCAGGAGAAAGATTTGTTTAAAAAAAAAATAAAATAAAATAAAATAAAACATGGCTGACTCGAAGAGATATAAATAAAATACACACACACACACGAATAATACATAAACAAAAATATACATATTATAATACATACACATGTAGATACAGGTGTCTGTTAACAAAAATTCGATACCAGAATATAAAACCATTTGTTTTCCATTCCCTTTTACCCTTCTCTCCTAGATATTGAAAAAAAAAAAAAAAAGACAATTTCTAATCGTAATTTCATTTTCAATAATTATCAATCGTACATTTGTTATTATTTGTTCTTTTGTTTTTTTTTTGTTTTTTTTATTCGAAATACGCGCTCTCAACGAACATCAGACACATTTTTTGAACAAGACTGAGGAGAAAGAGAATAAAATAATAAAACTCTTGTATATAGATTATTATATACATAATAATACATCCAATACATAGTAATGATGATGATGATGATGATGATAATGATGATTATGATTATGATGATGATGAATTTGATAAATAAATAAATTGTGTACGTAAGAACAGAATGAATATACATATATAATGTATTATTATCGATTAAATTCAATTGTTTGATGATATGTACGTTAAATAACAATGACTATGATGATGTTTATGATGATGATTATTATTATTATTATTATAATAATAATGATCATAATAATGATGATGATGATAATGATTATGATAATGACGATACACACCGATTAAATTGAGAGAAAGTTAGGCGTGTGTGTAAATGAGTATATGGAATAAAATCCTCTGTATATATATTATATAATACACAAATCAAGGTACTACCGCGATAAATGACTACCGCTATCACGGCCTTATATTTCTTAAACGAAATGATGAAAGAAAATCAATCATTCGTAGTATAACTTTTGTTATTTTGTATTTAACAATTTTTACGAATGGATGCTCATATTTTTATTATTTCATTTAATAAACGTTTATCTTTTCTTTTTCATTCAAGTTTTTTTTTATAAAGAAGATCTAATCTCTATCTTTCTTTTTATTTTTATTTTTTTTTGTATTAATTCAAATGTTGTCTCTTCATTGAAAACAAGTGAGAAAATTGAGATATGTTAATATAATTGATAGAAATGTTGAAAAATAAAAAAAGAAATCAAAGTAATATATTAGTCAAAGTTAAATCATTCAAATCTATTGAAAATTGCGTTTAATCGGTGAAAGATATGTTAATAATGAATAATGTATTATTTTTCAAAATAAATAATGGCATCTGTGGTAATTGATTGTTTTTCTATTGTATGTACTTATCGTTCGATATCTAATGTTCAAATGAGTCATTCATTACGTATAGATTAGATATACATATACACATATTATATATATAAATATATAATTCAAGTTGTACGTGCCGTATTCCGAGCGAATTTAGCGAAATGGGCAATGTTTTAGGGAAAGAATAATAAATAAAATTAAATAAAATTAAATTACAAAAAAAAAAGAAGATTTTTCAAATGGATTTCGATTTAGCCGTGATAATTGGATATTTCGATGGTAGTAATCGACACATAATAAATACAAGATTTCAAAAATACAGCATTAAGAGATCTGCTGCTTTACAACAGATTCGCAAGATTTACGATCAAGTTATTCATACGATAATTACATTCAAATAAATGTCACGAATAATGTAAACATTAAACTAATGAAATTGAAATAAAAAGGACGATGATTCACGTATTCAAGAAAATATATTTTTTTAACATTTTCACAGCCACAACGGCGATTGTACAAAATGTTTTATTGTTTTTTTTTTTCTTCTTTAAAATAACTTTAGTATATATATATATATATACTATTTCAATTACATTTTGGATTATCAATATAAGTATCTCAAAAATTTCTTATCTTTTTCCCCCCCTCTTTTTTGTATTAACATGCTTCATAGAAGCGTATATTTTATATACGCTTATATATATTTTGTATGCACTCTAAGGCATATTTTAATAAGCTACATTTTGTTCATATCAAAGTTTAGTTCAAAGATATTTAAAATATATATATATATGCGTATATATATTTATATATATCACGAGATCCTTCCTATTCATTAATAATTAATATATCCTCATAATTTCTTTTTTTTTCCATTAGTTTTGGAAAATGCAAACAACTTCCTCGATTAGAATTAATTCAAAAAAAAAAATATATATATATATATGTTTAGGATTTGTACAACCCTAATAGAACACCATTGGTTACTATATCAGGTAGATTTGTATTCTTATTAACTTGAACGTATGGATCACGATGAAAAGTTAATACTGGATGATGTCCCAATGAACTCGGATGAACATGTCCCAAATCATTAATTTGCTTTTGTCCTCTAAAAATAATTCATTAATATAAAAATAATAAGATTATTTGATGAACGTTTTTACAAATGAATTATTACTACAACATTTCTTATAGAAATATTCACTTTTTGTCTGATGAATTCGATGAACGACCTTCGATACCTAAAAAATTAAGCACCTGTTGTTTTGCAACTGGAAGTTTCAACATTTTCTGTATGTACACCTCTAATGCTTCACGTCTATGTTCGAGCACTTTTGGCTGAGAGTTCCTTACTCTTTTTGGTGGAAATGGAGCAATATTCGTGTTATCCTTTTTCAGCTATGTACAATAATGAAATAAATAATTATATACGTACCTTAAAAAATAACTAAGATTACAAACGTCCTTTACATATAAAAAGAAGCTATCAACAAGCTTATACAATAATTAATTCAATCATATACAGAAAATACATAGAAAATTTACAGGTGTGTAAATAAAAGTGAAATAATAATAATAATAATATTATTAATATTAATATATATAAATTAATTATGCAATTATTGCAATGTGTAATGTGGTTATGATCACCATGTATCATAACCATGAAAAAAGTAAACATACATAATATACGTATGTAGATATAAGAAAAAAATAAACGAAACAAAGAGAAAATGAACAAAATGATAATTAAAAAAAAGAAAAAACATACCGTACGATGTAACGAGCTAAATTCGCTATACCTTCTCTCGCTGAAATATCGAGTGCCACTGTCCGTTTCGAATAATTCGATACAATAAACATAATAGGACCTGCCATGCGATACCTCGACCAAACGGTATCCGTTGATAAACGCTTGATACATTGCATCGCTAATTATTTTCTAATAACCTAAAAACATGGATTAAAGAATAACATTTTTTGGTTAGTTCATGTCAATTAATTTCAACAAAGTTTATCTTAAATAATTAAGTATATATATATGTACATTAATATTCATTATCTCGTAACTCTCTCTCTTTACAGTGTGTGTGTGTGTGTATGTGTGTGTTTGTGATTTTTTTTTTTTTTTTTTAATTAGATAATAAACGTATGATTCAGAAATACACATACACTCACAATATTTACGCGCAACATTATGTTTAGAATTATTTTTGGAATACTCTCGACCAATGAAAAATGTAAACTTTTAAGATTATAGAAATTATTCAAACCTTACCCGACAATATATCTAGCTATTTATCTCTCTTTAGATTAAATTGTAACACATACGACTGACGACGAGCCATATCCAATCTGTGTAATGTTATTGCTCGTAAAAAAACACTACCTTGTCAAGTATTCACGCATGCGCACTCGTCATATTTCATGACGCGCAGTTTTTGAACTATTTTAAATTATTCTTTTCTTTGTTTTATATTTGACATACTTATCACAGAAAATTTATTTAAAAAAATGAATATGAAAGATGCACGAATTACTTATTAAGTATAAAAAATTAAAATAAATATTATATATTCTTGATAATTATGATTTTTCTGACGATCTTTCTGGTGACAATTTCCAATAAATATGTCGGATGTACGCGCATGCGTCAAATTCAATGGCGCGCTTTATAAAACTTATTACGAAGTACAATAATTAAAATATTCTAATTATTTCATATTTCTTTGTTTTATAAATACGACGAATAGTATACAAATTATTATTATCAAATTTTTATTATAAAAATGAGTATAAAACAGTTCAAAAACTTTTACTATTCCTTGTAATAATTTTAAAATAAATATTTCATGTTATTTTAAAATTATATATTATAATTCTTCATGAGAGATAGTAGCCGATGATCTTTCTGGTGGAAAGCCCCAAAAATATGTTGGATAACCTTTAACTTGTCTTTCTCTTGCCACGAAAGCTGAAAATGAAGATATACAATTTCCAATAAAGTAATTCGCTCTTCCTAAAATAGCTAAATCTACGTGAGGAGAAACTGGATCTGGTTGTCGAAAAACTTGCACCTGTAATCAAAGTTTGTAAACAATTAAAATAAAATAAAGATGAAAAGGTAACATGGTAAAAAATTTGTTTATTATACCTGCATGCGTGCTAAAGAATTGGTAAGTTCATCGATCATATAATTATTGTCAGAAGCAACAAATATCGATTTAACTTCATTATGGTTTCGAATAATACGTTTAATATGTCGTAGTATAACATTGAAGGGTGGTAAACACATCGTAGTCGTTGCTTTACCTCGTTCATTACGATATCCTAAACATTGAGCTGCAGCGAATAAATTTGGAGTCATTGATGTATATTCACAAGCACGCACCTATGCAAAAATATAAAGAATTTAACTTAGAATATCTGATTTTAATAGTACAGTGTAAAAATAATATAATACCCAATCAATTCCATTACGTAAATGAATTCCTATATACGCTCCCTTAGGTAAATTATTTTTCACAAATGATTTTGCTTTTTCTTGTATCGATTCATTCCATTCTAAACACTTATGTAACTTTGTATTTTCAAATTGTACAGGAAAGCTTGCAGGTGCACCTGTAAATGCTAGTATTGGCCATACTTTAGATGGATACTTTTGTTTCCATTGAGAAACCATATCAGTATGATACACATCGTAATGTAATGGACCATAAAATTCGGAGTTTACAAAATCTATGTTATAGGTATCCCAAAATGGACCAAATGGATTACCTTCCTTGGCATTACAAGATTCACTATTGCCACGTTGAGAATAACAAAATGCTAGAAAAAAATATAACTTAAAGATATCATTTTAATCATTTTGTTTTTAACATTGAAAACTTACATACTCTTTCCTTCAGTGGCCATATCGTTGGAGCCAAATTATCCATAAAGTCATGCATCAACATCGTTTTGTGACATTCTTGTAGTTTTGAAACGTTGAAATAAGTATCAAAAGGTACTTGTATCTAGGTAGAAGATAAGAAATATTTTGTTAATATATTATTTTGATTAAATACGTATAATATATATATATTCAAGAACTTACAGATTTTGTTTGTCCTGTTCTATATTCAACCCATGGTGGTAATACTAAGGTACGATTCAAAGCTATAGCAAAACCCAGTGCACCGAGAAAATGATCCGCTTGATTTCCAAATCGGCCTGACATAAAAGATATAAAATAATTATAGTAAATGATAAGGAAATGAATTTTAAAGTGAACAATGTATTAAATAATATTAAATCTTACCCATACAAGGACAATAAAGAATATATCCATTAATGTCAACGTCAAAATTTTGACAGTTTACATTGAAAATGGTTATTAAAAATACAATCAAATATAAAAATCGATACATTATTGTTTAAATTCTTATATTTTATCTATAATTTAAGAATTTAAAGCATTATTTATTTACTATTCAGTAACAACAATCAACTTTTGTTGAATGTATAGACAGTTTGTGTACACTCAGCTGATCGCTTAAATGAAAATGTGGAAACAGCGCCAACTAACGGAATTTAAGAATAACAAAGCTGCTTATTATTAAAAAGCGCGCACATTTAAAAAAAATTCTTATTTTCAATTTGATTATTAATAAATGTTTTGTTTTATTATAAGTATATTTCATTGTAGGATGATATGTTATAAGTGAAATTGTTAATTCAATCTTTAAATAATTGCTATTTTATTTAATAATTGATTAAAATGTATTATAGAGATATTATACTTTTAAAAAATTACAAGAATTAGATTTATAGAATTAATTATCTACATTGGTTAAATTTATCTTCACATAGTATTGATTAATTTTTATTCATCACATGCTTTCGATACTCATCGATGACCAAACAGAATAACAAAATCACATTATAGGATGCAAAACATTTATTTAAGACTTTGATTTGAAATTAGGTCAATTCTGTACATACACAACAGCTACAAGTATCCTTCTATACTGTATATTAAATTTACAGCTTTATCTCTGTTTTTTTTTTTCCTTTTTTTTTTCCCCCATGTACAAGAGTACCATGTACATTTAGTATGTAATACATGCATATTATATATGTAGTAAACTATATAAGGATCTCTTGAGAGACGTTAAAATAACGATCCTTAGTTTTAGGGTTCTATTACAATCATTTTGTTTAAACAGAATAAACATAGTATTTCTATAAAAATATATCTTTAAGTAAAAATCAAACGCAAGTCTCTTTTCCAATTCAACCATTTTAGCTAGTTTACAAGAAGACATTATACATCTTTTTTTTTTTTTCTTTTTCTTTATCTTTTATTCCTTTTTGAATTCTTTTTATTAATCTTTTTCATTCTTTAATATTTTAGACAAAAAGAGAGCTATTTGATTTCTTGCGACGTACTTGCGATCTCGAACGTGTTATTATATATAAGGCATGTATTAACAAAAGCATGTAATTAATTGGCATTATAAAATTACTATTATAGAGATAAATATATAATTATTATATTCTTTTCATTTCACATATTAGTCAATTTAAACAGACATGGTACTGTTATACATATGAGTATGTATGAATTTCTATTTTTATTACTGCACCTTTAACAATAATATGTTAGATGCATAATAGCTTAGGAACGACATTTAAAGTAATAACAAACAAAAATTCTTAAAATTATTAATGATAATTAGTATTAAATAAATATTCATGCGATTTTACGCTCAATGAAAATATATATATATAGATATAGATATATATTTAATAAAAAGATATTTTTATATCGATACATCATTTTGATAGAATCTCTTTTTTACAATCGCAAAATTGTTCCATTTATATTCATACATGCTCATATTTAAACAGTATTATCAATAATTAGCCTCCTCATCGTCCTATTTGTTTTAAACATATGTATAAATAGGTCGATTTGAGGCATTTTATAAATGAATTTTGAAACAATATCTCTCATTAATAATTTCATATAAATAAAATATCGTTCGAACCATCGTAATCTAATGCAAGTCCTAACATAAATATTTTTTATATTACTACAATAATAAAATTTTATTTATTTAAAATCTTTTACTTGACAGCAGACATATATTATATTTGCAATGAGCTATTTCTCAGCTCACAGCAGCCCAGTTACGTGATAAGAAGAATGTAGTGTAACTTTTGGGCTAGTTAGGACTCGTATTGGTTTTTGATAGTTCTAAAGATATTCTTAAATTATTCATAAAACATAGAATTTTTTTTCTTTCTTTCTTTCTTTTCTTTTTTCTTTTTTTTTTTTATATGAAATAGTATCATGTCTTCTACCAAATTAATGTTGTGCATTAAGTATTTTAATAATATTATATTCCTACTAAAATAAAAACCACCATAGTAGCAATGGTCATCATAACATAACACATAACATTAAAGCAAAGTTTTAGTTTGTGAAAAAAAGATCGCATTTAAATGAATGATCGCTTAACGTGACGTGATACAGAGTTATCCATTCGAATATATAATTATTGATTCTTATGTTCATAATGTACACGTGAAGATAGTCCCTAATGCAGAAATGAATGAAATTCATTGGAATATTTAAGCATGAATTAGATTCATACTTAAATATATGAATATATATATATATTTATATTTATATATATAAATATAAAAGAAAATATGATGAAGCTCGGAGTAAGAGCTATTCATTCAACATCTGCGATAAATTCAAATCTCAAATACACCATTTGAAACTTGTTATATATACACAGATAAAAATTTAGCAAGTATAATATATATTACAGTGAAATCATATTTATCAACTATTACTATATTTAAAAAGGGCAGTATCGCGATACAGTGCTCTTCTACGTTATTAATTCTTGTTTACATGCTTTCATAATTCAATTGAATTAACTACATCTTTACAACTCTGTTATTAAAATTATAAAATAACAAGATTATTATTATTATTATTATTATTATTAATTTTTTTTCTTTTTTGTAAATTTTTCAAACCCTTTTTTGCAAAATAATGCAGTATCGTATTATGAGGAGCGAAAAGCAAAACTCTTTCGCGTCCAGTTACAAAATATATGAAGGCATTCATTCATCAGCATTCCTCTATGTACAAGCTAGACGTACACAAGGTTAGATTGTATTAATGTATGTATAATGCAATAAAAAGTAATTAACTTACATCATGTACTAAAGGCCATGTCATTATATAGTTTACATTTTTTTTAGATTCTTATAGTATTGCAAAATTCATTACGATGCAAATTGTAATTACACCTTATTAATGTGATTACAAATTTTGTCCTAAATAACATTTACTTAAATAAGGAAACAAACATTTTCTAAGTTGATGCAATTATAGCAGATTTAACATTATCACATGTTCATTTTGCAGCTTACAGAAGTTGAAGTTAATATTTTCGTTTGATCAACTGAATTATAATTCATAACATACATGTATATATATGTATACATATATGTATATATAATACTCCAAGTATTTAATAATTTGATTTTTAAAAAATACATTTTATTAACGTGTGATAAGTTTTTGCAGAAAGCTGAGCATCTAATTTCTATTTTAACTACATACATTAATAACACTCAAATTTGTATGATATTGTAATGGATAAGTAATGCTGACAAAAATATATTTTAAATGAAGCCAAAATGTGGCCTATAATTTTTTAACAATACAGATCGGTTTCTTCATATTCTTTCAGTTGATGCAAGTACAACTATCATTGGTCTTAAATTTTGTTTTAACATTGCATAAACATATAATTAAATTTAATATTCCTGATAGAGGAAAACAAGCTTATTGATAATATAGATAGCTCATTAGCTATTAATTTATAATTCGAATTTATAATATATTACATGCAAATATATTAAGTCGTAACATAAAAAAAGTTTAGTTATATTCATTTCATACGTTCTATCATGTTCTTGGAACATATTATTTATATTTAAAACAGAGTTCACTTAATTAAAAACGTTAATGAATTATTAAACATTATACCAATGATATTAGTACTTGTGTTTTCGTATTACTTATCATTTGAATAAATCATAAAATTGATTATTGTTATAAATAACAAAGAATGATTACTGTAGGAAGATTGGATGTGCAATATGGATTACACTAGGATACCAGTTTTACATGTAGCTTTTCGACACAAAAGGAATTATAACTCATAGTAGAAATAGAAAGCTGAAGAAGTTGAAGTTAGATTAATTTCTATTATTATAACAGTTCAGTTTGAAATATTATAAAAATGACAATAACTGTTGCCTTTACAATTATTGAAGAACGAAGTTATATGCAGTATAAATATACAAAATTCAAAATTATTCGTTTTAAAATCTAATATATATATATACATATAACAAATGTTTAAATTGTTATACGACGTATAATATATTTTCCATATAAAATTGTGTTCTCTATCATGTAAAACTATAGTATCCAGTATTATTATGTTTTTCTCCTTTCTTTTTTTTTTGTTTTTTGTTTTCGAATATATTTATAGAGAGGTAATTGAGCCTTTAATAAGATTACTAACTAGAATAATAAAATATTTTGCAAGTCCATGTTGTTACTTTTTGCATTTTAAAAAACAAATTTTTAAAGAATTGTCAAAAATAAGTAATATCTCACTATCGTGAAGGGTTGGCATCAGTTAACAAAAGTTCTAACGCCCTGTACCTGTCAATTCTTAAACCTAAAATCCGTCTCAAGTGTTGATTAAGTGTACTTGCAGCAACTGGTTGACAGGGAGCTACACAAGGTGGTGTATCACCAATTAGTTCAACAAGAGTTATTATAAAATTGGACCAATCAGAAGGTAAAGCTTCATTTATAGGATTTAACTTTTCTGCATGTTCCAAAAATGCGGCTAATACAGATACACCAAACTATAAAAATATAATGAAAAGAGAGTTCAGTTTTTTGAAGTTTATTACAATTAATTAAAGAGATATTAATATCTTTTACGCTTACCTTGTTTACAAGAGCAAAAACTAAACTATTATTTTTCATAGGTTGATTAGCTGTTTCAGATAACGCTCTTGTTAATCGAAGTAATGTATTAAAATTCTGTACACTATCAAGCCACCTTCGAAACTCGGGATAAAAATTTGTCAATAAATGTGAATCTCTACGACCAATAATTGCTAAACTTCTTAATATACAGGTCCATAAATTTTCCAATTGGTTGCTACATTCGATTACATTTATTAAAGGTAAAAATCTCAATAGCAGTGTCTAGATAATAAAATCAAATATTATTTTTAATTATTCATTTAATTTAATATAAAAAAAAAAAAAAAAATAATGATATTTTATTAACTGTTGTAATATTTACCTTGCCTTTACGAATACTAAGCATACTGGCTATTTTGTCATCTTGTATTAACTGAGAAATGGATGTCCACATCATAGAAATTAATTCAGCACCTGTTTTTTTAACAGTATTCGTTTCTGTTTCACTTTCTTGTTGCTGTTGTTCCGAAAGCATAGCCAAAGGATTATTTATATCTTCAATTTTTAACAGTATTGTATACATCTGTAAATTAATAATAAAAATAACAGATAGTTAATCTTCTATAAAAGAAATTGTTTTTTTTTTTAATTAATATAATAAATAAAAGTAATTCCGCGTACCCTTTCAATTTCAAGGAACAATTGTCTCATCTTTTTAGTATCTTTTTGTTGAGATTGTAAAGTTGAATGTGGATCACTATTGGGAACAACATCCATATCAATAATTTTACGAGGTGCTGTAACACTACTGAATTGCAGCTTCCCTAATGAATTCTCAAACTGTGCTGGAATATATACAACTTTTGATGCAACATGTTGAGGTTGTTGATCGCGATTTCTAGAAACAAAAATAAATGGACAATTAAATAGTGAACAATTATTACATATATATACATACATAAATTATATGGATTAAAATCGTACCTAGATTCTTTTTGAAATCCGTTATTGTTATTATGTTTTTTATCTTTCTGTTCTTGATTAGCATTTAGCTTATTTTGTCTATCACAAAATACCGTATAATAATAATCATCAACGTATGGTTGATTCGTATTTAACTGGAGCAATTGAATATTGATTAACCACTGTTTTTCTCTACTACTCATAAGACCAGCATATTCGTCATATTCTCCAGAATTATTAACGCCATTTATTCCTTGAGGATGATTATGATGTTGATAATGATAATATCTTTGATTATTTCTATCATGATTACGAGGAGGATATTGATTATTCTTAAAAAATGGCTGATGATTCGCTTGTTCATTGGAATAAAATAATCTATTTTGGTTCCTTTGATTTACAGGATGTGGAAATGAATGTTGTTGACCAACTTGATTTGGAAACGGAGGCATCATTGGATGATCTTGACGAAGAAATAGTGGAGGTCCTATATTAGGATGAGGCGGATGCTGTAAACATATTATTCATGTTTATCAAATATTTTGTCATCATTTAAATTTCTAATAAATTAACCAATTTTCAATTCTTACTTACATGAAAATTGCTTGTAAATGGTCCATGAATTGGCTGTCTTTGTAATCCGGGCGGTAGCATAACATGTTGTGGTAGTGGATATCGCATTACACTATTAGGCTGATCTAGAAAAAAAGAAAATCAATTAATAAACAAAGTTTAAAAAACACATAAATGTATTTTAATTAAATTACAAAATATTTACTAGATAATAATCTAGGATGTTGGATGTATTGTGGTGAATGTGGTAATCTTAAATTTGGCGGCAACATAATGGGATGTGGGCCAGGTAAGCTCAATCCTGGTGGAAATCGAGTGGGAGGTAAGCCATTGATTTGAAGTTTGTCATTTACTGACAAAGCATCAAAAATAAATGACCCATCGGTCTTTTGTTGTTGTATTTGAGTTTGAGCTGGTTTTATAAGACCGGGTGGAGGTCTATTAGCGATAAGACCTCTTTCCAATTCTTCCACTGTACATACATTTTTTAAGGTAGTTGCTAAAGAAGGAGGTGGTARAGGTTTAGGTAATGGTATAATACTAGGACTATCCCATACACCTGGTTTAGGTACAATTCCTTCTTTTTCATCTAATACTAAATGCGATAAACTATCTTCGATGTTAACACTGATACCATTCTAAAAAAGAAAATTTGAAATTATATACTTTCATGTTCTTAATTATTTAAGTTGAATATATAACTGTAATACAAACCTTTTTATCCGGAACACTTTTATGCTGCGGCCTACTAGACTCTGCAATTTCTGCAAGTTTCTCATGATCTTGTTCCCAATCTCCAATGGTAGCTTCTGAACCAAAAGTTTCATCGTTTAATGCATCATATTCCTCCTCACCAAAATCTTCTTCTTCCAAAGGACAATCAAGGCCATCTTCTAAACCATCCTAATTGAATAAAGATATCATTTTATAATACGTATATAATATATAGTAATAAATAAATATACAAATTTTTACCGCTACATGTTACCATATAAAGTAAATACTATTAAACAATAAACCTAGAAGATATATATATATATATATATATGTATATGTATATGTACATATATATATATATGTATATATATGTACTAATGTATAAATAAATATATATATACATATATATACAAATTAGGAAAATAAATAAAAATCAATAATAAAATTTGAACATAATATTTTTTCAATGTATGATGTTAATGACCTTTTAAAGGAATAAAGCGGAAGTGAGGTTAAGATATATATATATCTTATAGATCATTTGTGAAACGAAATCATGCGAGTTTTTTTCAAAATTTATACCGCGTAAAATTGATCAATAACAATAAGTTATATTTCAATATAATAAAGTAAAATTTTAGAACAAAATTAATATTATTTATAATCATAATAATAAATATATTATATAGAAACTAAAGAAAAAGAAAAAAAATACATTTCTACCGCGACGCGCCTGTTTATTAAAAAAGATTGAGCTCGCACTACCGGTTATGTATCGTTTATTTATTATACGAATAAGGTATTTTTTTAATAAAATAAATAAAGTACAGTCTACTTACTAAAATCGTAGTGTCGAAACCGAAAAAAGAGTCTGCCATTTGTTGAAATTAAAATTACAAAATGACATGTTCTGATGAAACGTCAATTCGTCCAAGAAGCATCAGCTGTCATGGCGGCTAGGTTATAAGCTTCGACTTAGGTACGTACAGATGGCGCCTCTGTTGTAAGTCATGCTACCAACTTATTATAATTAAACTTAGATAATAAAAATACTAAACACGTGATTGGACAATACATTCGCTTTTTTTTGTAGTGGTATTGGAATTTATAATTATGAATTGTCCAATTTAAATTATACGAGTTATATGGCGTCATATAAGTATATAATGATATTTGTTGAATTAAAAAGTATAATAAAAGACAAATTAAATATAATTTATAAAATATGAAATATGACAGATATTATATTTCTTACAAAATTCACTATCTCATATCCTATTGTTAATAAATTATACATTATTTTGTATAACATATGTCTTATCTATACGCATCCATTTAAATAACATTTGTAATTTAAATTTAAAAACATGCTATTTAAAACTAAAGAATTTATTTGATTGAATTAATTGTTCTAAATAAATAATTATATATAGGGAATATTATAGTTTCATAAATGCATTTGTTTTTTATTGGATACTTTGATTCATCATAATCAATTTTATTTAATTGTACAATATTGTTTTATTTTTATTATTGATGTATAACCATTGTACATATAAAAAATTACTAAAATATAAAAGGGAGAGATTTATGTTTAGTAAAATAAAAAAAGAATATATATATATATATAATAATGATTTATAAAGTTTACTTTTTTATCTACCAGAGTACTACATAGATGCACTAGAGTTCTGTAATATTCAATCCATAGTCCATTCTATGTATCGATGCAATACTCTTTGGAAATGACAGATATTTTCTCTTTGTTATTACTAGTATCAAGTTGATAGAAGTACAAGTCGTTTCTTCTGAGAACAGTTAATCATTTCCATATATAGAAAATTAGGGCACATTAAGGCTTCAAAAATCATTTATCATGGTCCGTGTAATAAGTCAAGAAACTTATGATGAAGCTGTTAATGAAAATATTGAAGTATTTTCTATGTCACCCGAAGAAGCTATTCAAGAAACTGTAAAACAATTTGAATCACAGGTATTTTTAATATTAATTATTTTCTTATCTTTATGATAAAACAAAGATTAAAACAAAGTATCTTATTACTTTATACATAATTTTTATTAATTTATTATTAATATTATAGAATTTTTCATTGATAAATCTTCACAATAATGTTAATTTTAAAAATAAATTTATATTATACATATTATAATATATATCAAGCTAATCTATATATATATATATATATATATATATATATATATATATATATATATATATATATATATATANTGCATCGCGTACATGTCTTATCATTTCTAAACTTTTGCTATTAAACAACGACAATATTCTAACTGGACAGAGATATTGCCCCACCCTGTATACTGTATATATATATATATATATATATATATATGTATAACGAAACTATTGTTAATTAGAGTATGTCACATAGTTTATTTTAATTTGTTCTCATTTATTTTATACACCATTACATAAGAAGAAATGATATTTTGTAATAGATTTTAATTGATTTTCCTTTTTTTCTTTTTTTTTTCTAGGGTGTGGATTTAAGCAATGTTATTAAAGATTTAATAATAACACAGGACCATGATTTAATATTGACTTACCTAGAACAACTCAGAACAGCTATGACAAAAAAACATTATGAAAGAATTCCTCAGATTCTTGATAAGCTTACTATTGAATTGGACAAGGATATTGCTCGTAGAGTGTATGCTGGAAAACAAGGATGTTATGGTGTTTTACTTAACATTATGAAAAATTGTGAATATGATACATTGATACTTAGATCTACTCTTAAAACAATTACCTCGTTAATGACCGGTAATCCAGATTTATTGGATGACAAAGGTGTTTCTATTCAAATGGAGTAAGTACAATATTTAATTATATTTTTTTGTTATGTATTAGTTTACATTGATTATAATACTTAATAACAAAGATATATTATATTTTAAAGAATCTTGGATAAGCAGAGGGACAAATTGGTATTGCAATGTTTGTTACGTTGGATAAGAGAATGTTGTATAAAACACGAAGCTAATAGACAAAACATATTCAACGCACATATCTTTAAGAGACTTAAGAAAATATTAACTCGAGATGATGCAACAGCATCCGAAGTACGAGATGCATGTTCTGTACTTAGAGCACTTGTATTAGACGATGATATAAGACACGAATATGGAAAAGCACACGAACATGCAACGGTTATTGCAAGGGGTGCATTGGATGTACTTACTGGATTATTGTCCAGTAAATATTATATGTTATTCTCTATTTAGTTTTTATATATATATATATAGATTTCTTTTTTAAATAAGATTTAGACAATATTAATCAATGCAAATTAATATAGATATTTAAATATACTTTTGCATGTCAAAGGTACATGCGTATCTTCTTTTGTTTCATATAGAATTCAAAAACGAGAAAGCTGTAATGGGTGACATTATGATCACGCTTGCATCATTGATCGTAAGAAATGAATTCTGTCAGGACGTTACGGATGCTGGTGGTTTAAAATTTGTATTAGATGTTATCATTAATTATCCTGATTCAGAGAAATTAAATTGGCAAGCATTGAAATTATTAAAAGCTCTCGCTGGTAATGATAATGTTAAATCGCAAATAGTTATGGCAGGAAGTGCACCTTTGATTGTTTCTGTGATCAGTAGGTTTAAGGTAAATATATCTTCAATGATATTAATTATTATTATTTATTATTATTAAGATTTTAATCAAATTTGTAGAAATCTGAATCAATTGTTTCCGCTGGACTCGCATGCATCTCTGCATTAACATTAAGAAGTTCATCCAATGCAGGAGTATTTTACGATTGTGGATCAGTGAGCATAATTATTGATGCTATGAAAAGCTATCCTAAAAGTATTAACGTTTTGAAACAAGCAGCTTGGACAATAAGAAATATGTCTGTAAGAAACAAAATGGAATGCCACGAATTTATTGGTTACGGTGTTGAAGATATATTAAAAAGTGCTCTTACGATGCATGGGCCTAAATTAGAAAATGATATTAAAGCTGCCTTAAGAGATTTAGGATTAAAGGTTGAATTAAAAGAAAGGTGGACTGGCAAGGGTGCCAAGTTGAATAGCGAAGCAGATAAACAACCTGTATATGAATGAAAAAAATGATCTTAGAAGAGATTTTGAAAAAGGTTGTAATAACAATTTAACATTTGAAATTATTATGTTCGTTAAAACTTAATATTTACTAACAATAGTATATTTAATATGACTGACTCAGAAACTTGAATATTTTGCATTTACGCAATTTTTATGTCGATACTATCATTTGTATATTTTCTTATTTTAACATATCCTTTTTAACTACACTTGTATATTATATTAATAAATAATAAATTTTTATGTTTATTACATAAAGTGTTATTATACGTTAAAACGTTTTGGAAATTTTCAATATTAATGTGGTATATGTTGTGTATGTGATAAAATGTAATCAGTTTAAATGAATTTGAGTTTATTACATAAATAGTTTTTGTATATAATTATAGAATACTTGTCAATTGATATAATTTTTTCAATCTACAAAGGAGTAATACCAATTCTCTCATGCCAAACAAATGAAACTGAAATTTTCAAACGTACAACTAATATCAATTTTATTGTGTGTCAGTCTGATACTCTCCTTTGTAATTCCTTGTATAATACCTTATGTGTGTTGAACATTATCACCATTTCCAAAACGTAGATGAAAACTTGATCTCGTTATAATTAAACGAACACTGTTTTAATGTACAAAATAAATGGATGTATTCGTTCGAGAAAATCTTTGAAGAAAAATACGACAACGATTTAAAATGTTACGTTATGTGATCGACAAATGATGAAAAATTATGATCCATACACCATACAGTTGTAATCGTATTAAGTTCTTAAACGAGACTAAAATCCTTTCGCGAATACGATGCTTTATTCTGACTATATTTAAAATCACGAGAATATACATATTTATAGTTATATAAGTGGAATCAAAAATAGATACATGATGTAGATATTTGTATTATATATATATATACGTTCTACGAAGAACGAAATGGTATCCATGTTTTCTTGTATTTTAAAACATTGATAATATTTATTTTCATAATTATTTGAAATTTCTAACAATTATAATTTTTCCATTTTATGTTTTTCTTTTTGTTTTTTTTTTTTTATTTCTACATGCATTTTTTTTTTATTGTTTCAGAAATTATTCGAGTACAGTGAAAATGGAAAATAGTAGAACACGTTTGATATCTCATATTTCTAATATAGTTTTACGTTTAGTTTTAAGATTTAAATATTACCAAATTTATGATTATTGAATAAAATTGCTTTTGGTAATTATTTTACTTGTTTTTTTTTTTCTTTTTATTCATATGTAATCTATTTTAAACTTGTTTGATATATATATGTATGGTTAAAGTCTTTAACATAGTTTATGTGAAGACAATTTGACGATTATTATTTTTACTCTTCTATTATTTATTAATTATTGTTTAAAATCGTGAGAACATATACATAAACATAAATGATTTTAAGTCATGGATCGTTCTCCAATAAAATTATGAACAATTTTCTAATCTTTTATTATTTTTATGACGATCATTAGATGTTCTAACATGAATTAATTTCAATCTTGAAAAATTAACTTTTCATGTAAGATACTTAATATTATTTCGAAAAATATGCATAATTAATTACAAAATTAAAATTAAATTTTTATCATTATTTATAAAAACATTACGCCTGTAGTAATGCAACCCTCCATACACAGTTTGAAAATGTTGATTGCGAGCGACATCTGTTGGGACGGAATTTTTTTTTCTGCCCGAAAGATAGGCAACCCGTCATACATGCGTGTATAAACAGTTTGGACTGCAAAAAAATTCCGTCCCAGGAGATGGCGCTCGCAAGCAACATTTTCAAACTGTGTCTGGAGGGTTGCATTCGTACAGGCGTGCATTTTTTATAATTATTTAATAAATAATTAGAAAAAAAAGGAAAAATAATATTATAGTAATATTGTATAATAAATTATCCTACTTCTGATACTATGCACTCGTCTCATTTTCTTAAAACTTGCTTTTTTTTTTGTAGGTTTTATTTCTAACTTGTGTGATGATCTGTGCACATGTTGTTTTTTTTGCAAAAACATTTTTTTTCATTTTCTTGTAACACGAAAGATGAATTATAATAATAATAATAATAATAATAATAATTCTACGATATGTTTCGAGGTACGATGATATTGATTTTCGATATAAACATTTGAAAATCTATTCGAATGTTTCTTTTGATTATAATTGATTTGCAAATAATCCTACAATAACCATGAATTTATTGCAATTAACGTTCGTTCATTGGATTAATTATGAGAACGAGCTTAAGCTTAAGATCTTTCATTCTAATTTTCTATCGAAGTAATTTTTATTTTTTTTTTTTTATTTTTTTATCTTCACTTTCTTTACCTTTCTTTTCTTTCTATTTTTTTTTTTTTCTTAAATGCGTTCTCCTATCGTGGAAATTGGCAGCTAGAAATGCGACTAATAATATAATTATAATTT